ATTACATAAAATTAGAACTTAAACATAGATTTATAACTTGACATAGACTAAAGTTTTAGGTTTGACTTGAAATTTTTAAAATTCTGACTTGACTAAATAGTTTATTTAGTAATTTATCTAATAAGCTAGTAATTAATAAGCTAGCAAGTCGAAAGGTCTATTATTAGTAAAATAACATATGATGAGTAATTATATTTTAAATATTATGTTTAGTAAAAAATATATATACATAAATGACTTCACAAATATCATATATAATAGAACCATATTCAATAGCTCAATAAAATTTTATATTTCAAATAATCTAAAAAGTAACATGTTTATATTATGTAATATCAAGTTAACAATTAAGATATTTGTTATGAAAAAAAAATTAAAAGTGAGATTAGAATGTAAAACCTAACAAACAATTGCCAAATGTAACTTTTATTTTTGGTTTATGTAGTCATGGATTTAAAGAATTATCTTAGTGTTAAGAATTTGAAAAATATTTGAATTAAAAAAATTAGAATAAGAATTAGGAATGAATGAATTTTAATAAAAAAATTGAGATATTTAAAAAAACAGACAAAATTTTAATTGATAGTTTTTTTTTTATTATAATTTTTTGTTATATTAAATACTAAATTATGTTTTATATATATTAATATGTATAAAATTTTAATTAATAATTTTTTTTACAGTAAGTTTTAATTGATACTCTAATAGTATAATTATAATTATTATATTATTAAAGTATAAATACTAAATTATATTTTACATTATATATTATATATATAAAATTTTTAGATAATTATATTTATATTAAATTATTATAAATAATAAATAAATATAAATTATAAAATAATATAATTATTTAATTAAGTCAGTTTAATAGATTTAAAAGATTGTTTTTTATAAAACTTAAGCCTAACCTTTTTATTTAAATAGATATTTTTAAAAGAAGCTTAACTTTTTTAATAAATAAATTTAACTAAATTAAACTTTAAATAAGCTGAACCATAGATTCTCAACGGTTTCCATTCCTAACTTTGTAGTATAAAAAATAATCAACTAATATCATTAAGATACTTATTAAAAAAGTCAATTAACTGTACACCCATTCAAAAGTAATTAATTAATGCTTTGCCAAGGACAAAAGTCGTTTGTCGTAGATCATTATGGCCCACAAAACACACATTAGGGCCGGCTTAAAGGTTAGGCTTCCAAAAAATTATTTTACTTATTAATTGTATTTTTTAAAATCAAAATAATAATAATTTAATAAATAATACTAGTCTAATATGAATAAATACATACATTTTGTTAGAAAATATTTTTATTCTATGATCTGACTCTTATAATTATTTATTAAAAAATAGTGATTAAAATTATAATTAAATGTATGCATGTGCATAATAAATTATATAATTATAAAATCTTAAATTGAATTTTTTCAGTGATTGAATATAGCCTTACATTTTATTTCTTAGGAACACGTGATTTCTAATCTTTTTAACTTTTCCAAAGAAAAAAAATCAAGAAAGTCTAATATTATGGGTGCATTTTGGTAAACATTGAATAGTTTAATCAAACACGTATTCAGTGACATATTATCACATAAAATTTAATTATAAAATAATTTCAAATTAAGTCAAAAGATAATTTATTTTTAAGTTACACTGAAAATAAATACTGAAATTGGCTAAAACAAGTTCAACAAAATTATAAGTCATTTTTATAAAAAATAAAATAAAATAAAACATTCTTTCGAACGCTCCATAAATAAATTAAGTTTATTAACGATAAACTTAATTATCTTTTCAATAAACAAGTTTATATTCTTTTTTAAATAATAGATAATTTTACTTTTTAAAAACTTTCAAACTTTCTTTTATGACAAAAACAAAAAAAACAAAAAAACTCTATTTTTCACTTCTTTTGAGGTTCAATAATTTAGTACACATGTCTTACTGTCTAAACTTTACTTAATAAAGTACAAATAATGTTTTCTTTTCATTATTTAAATTTCTAAAAATTAGTACTATACATGTTATTATTGTTATTATTATATATACACACAAAAAATAAGAAAATGTTCTGTAGAAGATTTTTAATTTACAGTTTATTCTTAGTGTTAAAATGCAATGATAAATCTCATTTAGAATCATGTAAAGAAATATATATATATATATTTATAAACCATCTTTACATAAAAAATTCAATTCTCGTTCATAATAATACGATAACCTTCATACAAAACATATCTTTTTACATAATCATATATATCTTACTTATTCTGTGATTCTTTTTATTTACAAATTAGATTAAATTAATTTTTTAATAAATTTGTTTACTTTTTTAATGTTACATTTCTTTAACCAAAATTCATTTCTGTACATATCTAAAAAAACGTTAAAAACTATATAAACATAATTTTAATATGAAACTATAGTTAATAGCATTAAAATATACACAAAAGAATAAATGTATAAATGTGAATACTAAGACATAAATGAATTTCAATAATTGTTCTTCAGAGTATACGATGGATTATGGATGTTCCCAAACCATGCAGCGAATGATGAAAAGGAAGAGTGATCACTGATCACGCAAAGCAATGGCTACACCAAAGTCCATTTTTCACGACAAAGTGTAATTCAATATTGTTATCATATCCATCTGCCCCTTCACTTTTTTTTGTACTTTGCCCTTCCATGTCACGGGCTTGTCTTGTTTTCTATAAAAAAGTTCTTTATTTTTTCTGAAAAATATTTGATGTATTATTAAAATAGTTGCAGCTTCTTTTCTGCATAATTAAAATAGTTGTTTTCGACCACATATTTATGTGGGAAATGCTTGAAAAAAATAGATCTTGAAGTTGACTCGACTGAAACATAAGGGTCACATTCTAATTCTACTTGTGGCTCCTCTATTTGTTCATTCATTATGTTGCTTCTCCATGAAACACATCCAATGTGTGGCCTCTGTTTTTCTGTGTACATACATCTCAATTCCTTACTGCATGATATCATATCTGGCAACATGTGAATGCTTGAAATTATGTGTGTTCACATTAGTCTTTAAAACTTTCAAAAGATTAAAATATCACTATATTGATCCTTAAGAAAAGTTAGAATGAGAAAAACAAATTATTTCAAGGGTTGTTTTGATAATATAGTTAAACAAAATTACCAATTTGAATGTTATAAAGGTCTATCTCTTAATTTGGTATATCACATTTCAGAAAATCTTTTTGTGAAAAAGTAAAACAAAAATGAATTGCTAGCTTTAATCGGGGCAATACGAAACAGTTCAACATGAAAACTGGCAGGTTTTCACAAGAAAATTGTGGAACATGCAATTGAATAGTTCTTCTCTTCCTTTTTCTGAGAAACAAAATTCTTGTCATGTGGTTTTCCCTTACAAAACATTTGCCTCTCAGTATTTAAGATGAGTTCCTATACATACGCATGAATGTTGGTAATTAAGTATTGCATGATAAAAGTTAGACATCTATATGAATTGCTTGATGTGTTCTATCGTAGGTTCGAAAACGGAAAAGGTGGATCTGGCCACATTTAAATTTTGCTTCTACCAAACGCCTACGATTAAAAATATTAATTCTATATTTGTTATTGATTATTGCATGCAATTAATCTATAATGAAACATCATGAGCACTCAAGAAATGAACCAACAACATGACAATTCTTTTTTATCTGGTGAATAAATTTCATTCAGACTAATGCCTTACCAAATTAATGAATTGCCTATTGGCAACTAAGGTTTGAACTCCGAACAAACAACCATAGAAGATTATTTATTTATTGCATTAACAATAACAAAATACTAACATTGTTGCACTCACTTTTTTTGGAGGCCAAACGTATAATCCATAATTCAGATAGTCAAGAACAACTGAAAAATGTTATGGAAAATAAGGGTTTCACAAGAGTGTTTGAGTCAAAAATTTTCCTTTTTGAATCTTCTTTTTAAAAGTAGAAGCTTTTTTAATTATTTTTATGAAAGAACTATTTAAAACGTAAAAGGCTAAGAGGCCTACGGTCCCACAATTACTGTGTAAAAGTTGAAAATAAATTATCTCATATTAAACTTACACACAATGTTATCGTATGAAAATCTTATATTTGCTTTTCTCTTTAAATGCATTAATTTATAGGGAGACACAAAAATTAAAGTTTCCAAATAAAAATGATGTAAACATGACAACATGATGAGAGGCCAAAGGTTGTATCCAAATGGTGAGCATGATTTACATACAACTTGCAATCTCGCTGGACCCTCTTCATGAATATGCACGTGATGATGCTTACGCGAGTTATGAAATACAGGATGTCAATCATCTGTTTATAATTGCACCAGCAGTTTCAATTTTCAGGTTCCAAAATTTTAAATTCATTTTAGTTTTTATTAAACATTTTTTGAAATATAAACACTAAAATAATATAATTCACGATTACAATATTAATATCACAATTAATCTTGTACGTGTATCTTCAAATTAAACATACATTTTAGCAAAGACTAAAGACATGCTAAATTTTTCTATATTTCAACGATGATGGCAAAAGAAGAATGTTTGGGCATGCATATATTAAATAAATTAGTGAAGGGACATTATTCCCTTGATTACAACATGAGACTATGAGAGGGAATCCCTGTTATTATATTATTATTATGGTTATCATTATTAACATTGAGGTTCTTCTTGCAACAAACAGTGTGACATTGATCTAAAATTTAGAAAATGGCGAGGAAGTTAAGGATTTGGGAATAAGAAAATATTGGCGTATTCATAGTCTTGGGTGCCCTCGTGCAAGTATCGTACGGTCAATAGTTGAAGCCGAAATTGGACAGATACATAGGTACGAGACAAGACAGGGAATAAGGTATGATTTATAAATAATATTTAAATAATGTTAATTATTATTTATTAATTATCGCTAAGAAGTGCATAGAAAAAAGTATATGTATGAATGTGAGGAGAAGCAGCAGCGCAAAACATAACAAACAAAAACCTTTTGTCTCTGTCTCTCTCTGTTTGTGTAACTTTGAGAGAGAGAGAGAGAGAAGCGCTTAGGTGGAGCATAAAGATTAAGATTGAATAAGAGAGGGTCCATACTCCATTGAAGCATACCATTCCCATACCTGAATTCCTCTGTTTTAGTCACCGCGCCCACCTTCTTCCTTCTTTTCTCTTTCTATTCGCTAATTCCATTCATTCTTCTACTCATACCAATGTAAACCTCTCTCTCTCTGTTTTTCTGAGTCAGGTTCAGTGCAAAGTGCAAACAGGTTCTTCGCGTTTTCCTTCTTCAATCTCCCTTCTTTCTAATATCAAGTCCTTCCTTTTTTACTTTCCTTTTCTTCCTCTGTACTCAATTCAAGTTTCCTGGTTTGTGCAGTTGTGTTAGATCTTGCGTGCTCTGTTTTTTGTGATCGTGATCTGTAGGCAACGAGAATGGGAGTTTGTTTGAGCGCCCAAATAAAAGCTGAAAGCCCATACAACACTGGTATCTTCCATAATTTCTTCCTCTTTAATTCGATCTTTCCCATTCACTTCAGTTGCTTTCCTGTTTATTGCTTCTGGGAATTCTCACTTTCCTTTTGTTTCCTCCAAGTTCGACACTTTCCTTTTCCCCCTTTTGTTTTTGAAAGACCCCAGGAAGAATTTTTATTTGCTAAAATGGATTTGAGCTTCGTTCCCTTCTCTTCCAATTTTTTAATTACAATTTGTTCTGCAGGTTATGTTTAGTTATTCGGGCACAAATGTGAAATAAATTTGGGTGACTCTGACTTCTCGGTTTCATTGTCTTAACAGTTCTTTTAACCTATTTTAAAGTTGATCTATCTCCTTCCAAGATTTTGACAAGTGCTCCTTTAGTAATGTTTTCTCCTTGAATGTGATCATTTGCATTGTATAAACAATTAAACATGATTGAAGATTCATTTAAATATTACATTTGATGCTTAATTGTAATGGATGTGATTTGGTTTGGTTTGGCAGGGTTCAATTCAAAGTGTGTGAGTAGTGATGGAAATGATCTTGGGAGCACAAACAGTAAAGTTTCAGTAGTGTCGGTGCCTCAAACTCCTAGGAGTGAGGGTGAGATCTTGCAGTCATCTAATTTGAAGAGCTTTACTTTAGCAGAACTTAAGACAGCCACTAGAAATTTTCGTCCAGACAGTGTGTTAGGAGAGGGTGGTTTTGGATCAGTTTTTAAAGGGTGGATTGATGAGAATTCATTGGCTGCTGCTAAACCTGGCACTGGCATTGTTATTGCTGTAAAAAGACTTAATCAAGATGGCGTCCAGGGTCACAGGGAGTGGTTGGTGAGTTTAATCTAATACTTTGTTAATATTCCATAGTAATTAAGAAACAACCCTGCCTCTCTTACATAGTAAACAAAATGCATGGTTAATGATTTAAGAAGCAAGCAAGTGTCAAGTTGCCTTATCTAGTCCTTGTTCTCCTAACTACACTGATGATGTTGTAGTTTACAACTCAGTCTTACAGTTACATATGGTTGGAAATAGGGGTTTATTTTAGGTGGTACAATATGCTTGCCTAACTGTGTTTCTGCTTTATCTTTTAGGCTGAAGTCAACTACCTTGGACAGCTTTCTCATCCTCATCTAGTGAGATTGATTGGTTATTGCCTTGAAGATGAACACCGCCTTCTGGTCTATGAATTTATGCCTCGTGGAAGCTTGGAAAACCATTTGTTCAGGAGTGAGTTTTCTTTCTATCCCATCTTTGCACATAGTTTTATGCCTTGTGGAAGTCTGTTTAACGCTGGCAACATATATCATTGAAACAGGAGGCTCATATTTCCAACCTCTTTCTTGGAGCCTCCGCTTGAAGGTTGCTCTTGATGCTGCCAAAGGGCTTGCATTTTTGCACAGTACTGAAACAAAAGTGATATATCGAGACTTTAAGAGTTCAAATGTCTTGCTGGATTCAGTATGTACACTTTCATTCAGTATATAACGAAAGAAATAGGTGTAATGAAGTAGAAATCATTTGGATAGCAGATCTGAAATGTACTTTTTGTTTTGATCACAGAAATATAATGCAAAGCTTTCTGATTTTGGGCTGGCAAAGGATGGACCTACAGGTGACAAAAGTCATGTATCCACCAGGGTAATAGGAACCTACGGATATGCAGCTCCTGAGTATCTAGCCACAGGTATTGTTGGGTTTATGTTACTGAACCATTTATGTTTCATGTTTTTCCTTTCATGAGATTGTTAAGTTATTCTAGATTCAATTTAATAGCCTTTTAGTTTATGACTAAACATTGTTACTGTAGGTCATCTTACTGCAAGGAGTGATGTCTATAGTTTTGGAGTTGTGCTGCTAGAATTGTTATCTGGCAAGCGTGCTGTTGATAAGAATAGACCATCTGGACAACACAATTTGGTGGAATGGGCTAAACCCTACCTGGCTAACAAACGTAAGCTTTTTCGCGTGTTGGACAGCCGTCTCGAAGGACAGTATTCAACAGATGATGCCTCCAAGGTAGCCACACTTGCTTTGAGGTGCCTATCAACAGAACCCAAGTTCAGGCCAAACATGAATGAAGTGTTTAGAACATTGGAACAGTTACAAGTTCCTACTGTACATAATAGAGGCAATCAAAATCCTTCTGTCAATGGATCTCGTCCTCGTAGGAGAAGTGCTGATGATATTAACCGTATGAAGACAACTCCCACAGCATATCCCCGGCCCTCTGCATCCCCTCTCTATACTTGATGACGTTGCAATTAGGAAACACAATGCATCTTTTGCTAGTGATCTCGTCCATGAACTCAATCACCTGTGTAGCTAGCTAATGGAATGTACATATCATATTTCACCTAATATATTCAGTGCCAAACTTCTCTCTTGGAGATTGCTAATGTCAACGAATTAATATTGCACCTACTCTGAGTTGTGTCAATGTGCTTGTAACTAATAAACTAGATGAGAAGGCATGTACTTATGTATGATACCTCTGGTTAGTTCATTTTTGTTCTACTCTATATTGAGATCGTGTGGCTTACTAGTCTATTTTGTAAAACTTAGTTGCCATATGTGGCTTCCCCACATCGAACATACGAAATATATTTATTAAAGGCTTCTGCTCTATTCTATACATGTTAGGATTCTTTCACGATTTGTTGCAATTCTGGCTACAAAGAAAAGGTGTGGAAATATTGGAATATGTTATAATTAACATGATATAAAATTTATTGATAGGTTGACAATCAATAATGAAACAGTTTGGTCTGAAACAATTAGTTGTAGCTTTTAGGCAGCCGTTAAAGGTTCACTTGCTAAAGAAAAGAAAAGAAAAAACACTTATTTTATGACGCAATTCCATTTGAAAAATCATAGTTACGGAAGATTTTTCCTTCATGAATGTAGTTTACTAGTGTTTCGGTACAGTAATGGACGGCAAAGCTTTTGTCTCCTCAATCTTCTTCGTCCTCAAGTGGAGAATCCTGACCCACTAGGTAAGTGAAGAAGATAATGTTGCAGAATGTTTGAATTTTGAAGAATACTCCACCTATTTCTCTCTGTTATGTATTAATGTGAATTCCTTTGGTTGGGATTATTCTCTTTTCGATTGCCATTTGATAACGAAAATGTCAAACTCGTACTTGATTGTAAATGATTGATTCCATTTTATGGGGAGGAATCTTGACTTGCTCCAACCGCGAAGCCACTAGGACAATCGTTGTGACTAATTTTTTCAACAATTGTTTTAAAGGCAATGTACGAACGAGAAAGAGAGGGAGAAGCTAATAGGAAAACATGCAATAGAAAAAGAGGGAAATGGAAAGTTTAGTCAAATTTACTTTATTTGACGAGTGAATAAAGTAAGAGTAATAATGAACATAATTTTTATTAAAATGCAATTTTACTTGTAAAACAATTATAAATTGAAATTATTTTTTTCCTAGCAATTAATTTTAAACTTACAGAAATACAATTAGTTTTATTAAACATAGAATTAACCGTAAACCGATCACAAGCCTTCAACAACTTTTAACTCCCACGCTTTCCTCAGGTCAATACTGTTCTCTTTTCTTTTTGGGTCGAGGTTCTCTGCTTTTTTTGTTCTAATGTCAATACTGTTCTCTACTCAACCAGTTTTGTACGTTTTGGATGGGCCTTGTAGCTTATCTATGTATATTGCCTCCGTTTAAAAAAAATAAAGTTTATAAAAATAACTTAATTCCCAAATATCTTTTAAATTACTTTAATATTTCTTTTATAATCTATTAAAATAAACTCTTTTCAACCTATGTGAATAAATTTCATAATTTAGTAAACTCCGTCCCAAATCTTTAACTTCAAAAGTCCCACTTCGTGCCTCAAAGATGAATTTTGACTTTTGTACATGTTTAAATAATTTTTTTAAAATAACATTCTATATAAAATAGCATGTACTGTAAAATTATTGCAATCGTCTTAAATTTCATCAATTGCATTTAAAAAAATACAAATATCGATCTCACTTATCATTTCTTTTTTATTTATCTTTTCAAACATTTACTGTCAAAGACAGCTTATTACTTTAATTGCCAACCTAACTACTGAAGGAATAAAAAAAATTAAGGAACTAAGAATTGCAGGGCTTTACCCAAAAGGGAGCCCTTCCAGAAATTCTCGAAGGCCTGGGCCAAACCCAGGCCTAAGAGGGGGTTTGGAAATAGTTTTCAACCAGCAATAGACGCGCCTCGGTTAGAACCTCACTAGCTGCGTCATTGCCCCAAGCGCAAAGATACTTGCCCCATCCTCTGACACGTTCTTTTATACAATCTTCCTCCAGTTTCATTTGGTATTTTGGACAATGTGGGACTTCGACACTGCTCAAACATAATCAGCTTGGTACCTTGTGAAGCAGGATGAAAACTTTTTCACACCGCGGGATTGTGCAGACTTCGAGTCGAACTGTAATATTCGAGGATGAAAGCGATGGATCTGAATGAAATCAAACTCTACATAAACTTCCAATTACCAAAATCCTAAGCAGGAAATAACTCATCTCTGCGGGCACATAGCTCCCCAGCTTATCGTTCCAGGTTCAGGGTCCTCTCGAGTCCAGTAGTCCAGCCCCAACAGTTTGATGGATGTAATTATGGTACAGTCTCGTTAATAATGTTTCCAAGATACTCAAACCACGATCATTTTAGGACCGCACTTTTGACAGCTTCCTGAGACCCTCGTTTGCTAGGAATGCAAACTTTTGAACCCATATAATGCACAACACTGACCCTCAAGACTTGGGCCAACATGAAACATCATAGGATTAGAAATGACCTCATTAAAGAACAACACCAAAGCTCCGTTTAACTAGGAACTTACTCTGGTGCAGCATATATAACCCATGCTACCAACAGCTGTGAACACGAAATAGACTTTCACTATGCTTGTTGGCAAAATACTAGCCACAAACAAAACAAAAGGCTAACATCCGACCATTGTCATGACCGCATTTCCTTGTAATTTGACTCTTAAAGCAATAAAAAAGACCAAGTTTGTGTTTGGAAACTAAAAAAAAAACTTGAAAGCGTGTAAGTTATACTACAAACAAGCTGGTAGCAGCAAATTAATTTTTCTAACATTTATCATGCTACGTTGTCAAAATTCCACCGAAGACGTCGTTAAAAGTAGTATCTACACCAAAGTTTTCTTACTAATGTTAAAACAAGGTCAAATTCTCCCTGCCTACCACGTCCAAGATCAGAAAGCAACCATTGAAGCACTTATCCAGTAATGTGTTAGTTCCGCCGGTAACCAAATAACCATGAAATATAAGCATTTTATTTTTTATAAATGTTATTATTAAAAAGAAATAAATAGAATAAATTAAGAATAATACACTTGGTGAAAGAAAATTGATATATGTAACAAGTAAAATGATGCAATAAAAAAATATAAAATAGATAACGATGTTTTTACAATGTTTATAAATCAAAATTTAAAGGAGTAATCACGGGCAAAAGAATCGGTTTATTTATGAATTTATACTCGATAGTTTCAATGAGATAGCATTTTACCTGGGATAGAAATTGAACATACTCTTTGACTGGATCCTATAATTTAGACTTTTTAAAATGATTTGTACTATTTAAATAATAAATTTAATTTAAAGTTTTAAAAATTTAATTAATTAAATAAATTAAATTTAAACTTAAAAAATTATAAAATTTATTAAAATAATCTATTTAAAATTTATAATAATATATTAGATAATTTAATTTTATATAAAAATTATAATATTATATTAAATAATTAAATTTTAAAATAAATAATATTTTAATTTAAAAATCTTACCACTTTTCGTCATACTTAAAGAATATCCTTATCAGTTTCTCTTGAAAGAGAATTATTTTTTTATTACTTTTATTTAGTTTATATAACATTGATTTATATTTGTATTATTTTAATTACGTTTATTGTTCGTTTATCTTATTTATTATTTTTTATATTTATTTATGTTATATGTAAATTTTTTATTATTTTTAAATTAATAAAATGTCTTTTTCAATAGAAAGAAATAAAAAATTTATTTGAAGACTTTAATACAAAATACAACATTAAAAAAAATAAAAATATTGTTTAATAAAAAAATAAATAATACATAAAATTATTAAATAAGTCGAATTTTTATATATATACTTCGGTAACTTATTTCCTTCCCTAATTGTACTTAAAAACTTTCCTTTGATTTCGCTCAGGTTTTAATTTGCTGGTTTCTTCTCATCCTCTTCAAGCAGGCATCGTCTAAATTGACTTGTAGCTAGAGCACAGACGAAAAGTTTGTTGGGCAACGACAAGTTCTTCCATTTCAAATATCTCACATTGCTTATTTATTGTTCTTCATACTTTTTTTATAAGTTAGTGGGAGGAAAAGAAAAATAAAGAAATTAAAATTATTCTCCTGCCTTTTTATTTTACTCTAAAATTAAGAAAAAGCCGGAAGGAAAATATTTTATCCAAAATTAAAAGATTTTGTAAGTCTAATTTAACATATAATTGTAAAGAAACATTCATTGTAACAAAGATCAATAAACTAATATTATTGTGTAAAAATCAATTTAAAGTCCAAAATTTTCTGAATTTTGAGTGGACACATAGCATGTTGGAGAGAATACATTACTACAGAAATAATATGTAACTTTTTAAAGTAGCGATTGAAACTGAGAAACAAGCAGAGACGGGAGCCGGAATCATTGGCAGTGACACTATCTTTGTATGGCTCACTTATGTCTAATCAGAAGGGGTATGATTCTCTACACTTTCTCTCTTTTGTACTCTGAATTGCAAATCTCTCTCATTCCCACTGTGCCATCAAACCCACAAAGTGTCTTCCCTTTATTATTATATATTATAAAAACGGGACCACTGAATATCGATGCTCACCGGCCAGTACAGTAGCAGATTGTTTGACCATATCACTCCGTAAATATCGTATTCATACCTAAATTTGTTTAATTTTACACAAAAAAGAAAATTCAAAGAAAAGAGCGAAAAACACGTGACAAACTCATTAATGAAATGAAAAAAAGATTAAAAAATTATAAAAAATATTATGCAATATGGTACGTAGAAAAACTATCGCTGCTCTCTTCTCTAGTAAGTCCTGGTTCGATGTCCTTCTCCCAGAACCTTAGCTAGCTCTATGACCATCTACGGCACACTAGAGTGGCTAGCCTTTATAGACCCAAAATGATGGGTCTCTGATACAAAGATATATAAGATAGTACAAAAGTACACTTATGTAGCAGCCTTGAAGTGGACAGCTACCAGCTTATCTATACCTTGCATCATCTAATTCAGCTTTTTACAACAGATCGCCAGATTTACCATCACCAATTAATCTCAAAGGAAAAGATGCGCATGGCCTAAGAATCCTCTTGTTACCCATAATTCCTTTAAACCACTCAACTACTCGCTTATTTACAGCCACGCCACTGGTTCATTTCCAACTCATCACTCGTAACTAGCTAGTTCCTTAGTTGGTCTCCGTCCGCCAGATAGACACGAGAAAAGTAGAAAATTATCGTACGTTAATTTGTTCCGTTCATTAATGAACACATTAGGGTTTTAACTATCTGCTGCATGCAATGTACAGTAACCATAATTAATACATAAACAAAAAAAGAGAATATTGAAGGGGCCAGCTACTGAACTGAACCTACCCACAAAACATTACTCAACAACGGAGCTGTCGTTTTCAATAAACAAAGCAAAAGAAAAAAATAATTATCAACATATATAGATATTTCTATAGATAGAGATAGATTCAAAATAAATAAAGCAGCAAGCAAATTGTGTACACACTAAATTAATTAATAGTGTAGAGTTTGGATATGCTTCCCGGTTATAGAGATCAACATTAGCTGTTCAACACATGCAACAGAACAAGCCCGAGCTTAATCGGCTACAATAATTCTACAAAATCATGTACCCATAAGGACCAAGTACATCATAGAACGAGACAAAGTAAAAACCAAGGAGGGGCGTGAAACAAAACAAGACGAAGAAAATGCATGATAAAGTAGGGTCGTGGAGGATGATAAGAAGGAAAAGGACATGGTGGAGCTAACTAGGAAGAAGGTGGGGTACAGAGAAAGAGAGGATGAGGGTTAGTGAGTTAGGCTTCTTGGAATCGCTTAGTGGGGTCACGAACTTGAAAGAAAGGGCGATTTTTAAGGACGATGTCGTACAAGTGAAAGTGTTTAAAGTTGGCAAAGTTTTTGGGGAGAGAGATGAGGTCGGAGGAGGTGTCGGAGCGATGGAACTGGATGAGGTCCGGGTGGTCAGAGTTACGGTAGCGAGTCCAGCCGAGTTCGGTGAGTCGCTGCTCAAGTTCAGTGTAGGAACGAATAACCTGGTTGCTTGGGAGATAGACCAAGACCCTTGGTCTTGCCCCGGGTGCGGTTGCTGTGCCAGGATAGGTTGGGTCTTTCTGCTCGAAGGATTCCCTTGTTGGGTTTGTTATTAGCCTTGCCACTCCATTCTTGTCAAAAACCCACACTCCTGACATTGCCCAAACACTCCCCTTTCTCTCTCAATCTATTGATATAATCTATCAGAGTCTTGTTCTTTGCATATGTGTGTCACACGTGAATTGTTTCTACCTTTCACTGGATGAATGATGATCATCTATGTGATTGTGTGTATTTAAACCAGACATAGAGTTTCATTTTCAACTTGACATTTAATTTTTGTTATAAAATCTAATAGACAAAACCAAAAATTAATAATCGTACATACGGTGTTCAAAGGATATGTAAATTGATGTATGAGCTGCCTAGACTTGCATAAATAATTGTTTGACTTTAGAGTAAGAAGAATGTGCTTCAAAATTGGGTAAAGTAAGAGATTATGAATTCGCGTTTATTAAATTCATGTTTTTTAACTAGCTTTTAGACATACAATATGCTGTATCCGATTGTGATTAATGAAAAGTGATAATCATACGCTGATAATAATAATCAAGGCTCATTTAATGGTTCGTGAAAGAAAATGGACTCAACTTTGAATGTCATAGCCGGAAAAATAAGATAAATTGTTGCAATGGTTTTTCAACGGTATTAATTCATTTGAATAAATACATCACACGAAAGAAATGCCTTTTTCATTTGTTTCAATATTTTGAATGTTATTCTTTTAACGAGTTTTTGAACATGTGCAAAATTGTACAGATAAATTTTAATAAATATATCACTTAATTATTTTATTATAACTTTTTAAAAAAAAATATTTTTTATTTTATTTTTATTAAGTAAATGATGTATTTATTAAAATTTATTCAGAATTGCACATTTTAGAAAAATTATTATTTTAAAACTTAAAACTTGAAAGAACAAAGGCCGCAAAGCATGAAGATGAAGCAGTTAAACGTTGCTTTATATGTGACAAAATGCCTCAGGAGTCCGTCATAAATAAAGCAGTTAAATTGAATTGTATTTTGTTTTTGCTACTGTTGTACGCATGCAGAATCACAATGTTCATTATTTAATTTTATTAGCATTATTGGGCCACACGTTTCCTCGCTACATGTTGGGTTGCATTAAAGCAAAAACGTGTTTATTGTTAACATAAAATTGAGTTCAAGTGAAGAAAAATATACATTTTAAATTAAGGTAAGAATTTTACATTAACTATTACATTTTTAATGACAAAAAATTTCAACATAAATAGTTTTATTTTTAATTAAAGGTGCTTCTCGGAGTTGCACTTTAAAGAAAAATACAGAAAAATGCAAATGTTTTATTCTTTAAATCAAATTAGATAAATAAATAAAATATTAACACATAAATTTTATATTAATTCTTTATTATAATTTTTATGTCAAAATTTTATAAAATTAGATCATGTTAATAAAAAATTTATTTTTTATCCGTCTTCCTCTAAAATTTAACTTCTAAAAACATCCTAAGTTTTTTTTTATTTTTTTAAATTAAAATTACCACCATTAATTACTTTAGATTTAAATATCTTATACATGTTTACATTGTATCAAGATTCTCATGAATGTAGTCAATAGACGTCTAACACTAATTATGCCTAGATTCACAGATCCTAAGTGTGATAGAACAGAGCGTGAGGTTAAAAATAATCACTTCCGTTGAAATTCAGTAACTTGTCTAACAAAGAGGGTCGTAATAAAACAGTTGAATCAAAAGAAAATGGCTATTGGATCACTTATTTTATTATTATATTTTTCATTTTAAAAGAAGCAGCAGCAGCATGGCCAGTTTTCAAAGTGGTCCATGATAGAATTAGTGATTAATAACCAGTGACTATATTTAAATAAACAAATAAATAAACAAACAAAGTTAGCGTTGTTGCCTTACTCTCCCCAAGTAGTAATTGTGATTCACAGAATCTTTAGGGCGAATCAAGTTACAGAAATTATATTTTCGACTTGGTCTAAAAAATCGATGACCCTATATAAACTGAAATATAGGGCCACATGATTAAATACATACTCACATCACTTGCTGCTGAATCAACGGAAGCTGAAAATGTTTTTCAAAACTACACTGTTTGATCTTATTTTCAGCTTCAAAACTATTCAACAGTGTTATTTATTGCCAAAGAAAAACAAACATAACAATAGTTTTAGGATTTCAGCACAACACGGGGTTCAAATATATATTACTTTTCTGGCTTTCTTGGCATGTGGACACCGTACATCCACGGTTTTGGCGTGTTTCACCCGAGGCTGGTATGGGATTCAAGCAACACAAGCGCTACTGCTCGCGGTCCTTACCACATGAGAAGAAAGCATCGTGTGGGATACAGTTTCTTTGAAGAATATGTGCAGTAGACACTCTAATACATATTAATATATAAAAATGTTTTTCTCTTTATCCTTTTCTATTATATTGATTATTTTGGCTTTTTTATTTAATTAATATATTTTAAAAAACAAATTCCTAAAATATTATTTTTTTTAAACTAATTCTCTGTTTGGACTTTTTTTTTTACCATGTCACAGGTAATATCGGCCATGTACCGACGATAGTCTTTTTTTTATAATTTTTTATTTCTCTATCGCCCACATACGTCCGATACTAAAGCATAATCTGACATATGGATATTTAAAACTGCAGAAAAAATAAAAAGAAAAAACAAATATTAGTATCGGAGATAAAAGAACGATAAGTATTATTTTAATATTTTTTTAGAGTTTATCGCTCATTTGTGGGCGATACTAGTGGACGTTTTGACACGTGGCGAGTATCGGACTCTTTGCGACGATAGTGGTGTCGGTGGTCAACTAGCGTCAGCTCTATCGTTTTGACTGGGGCGATACTACTAATGTGCTGACACGTGGCACAATGTATCCTTTTATCCATCGGATATTACCCAATTTTACTTGGTATATATAGACGAAGGAAGTTTCAAAAATTCAATTTGGATTGCAGGAGCGAGCGAAGAACATCGAGGTTAGTATATGTTATTATTAATTTTATATTTTTGTATTAATAGTGTAAATTTAGTATAAAATTAAAATTAATTTGTTTATTTATTGAAAATTAGTAAAATAAACGAAGGATTTAAATAAAATTAATATAATATATATGTAAGTTTATTGATAAGTATGTATTTATAATTTATTATAATAGGTTTATGGAAGAAAATAAGAAAAAATTTGTAGTGATAAACATGTAAAGCTGTTAGGAGATTATTCACGCACTAGCTATGTAGTGGCTGACTGCTAATAATTTAATATATATAATTAAAATGAAAGTGGTAATTAATAGGTATCCAAATCTGATTAAAACATAGAATTGAACAAGCTAGTGTATGATATTTTACATAGAATTGAAATATGAATGGGGTCATTTGTTATTAACAATTACATAAATAAATGTGTTTTAATTGAGTAGTATAATTTGTTGATGCAGGATGACTGATTTTGTGATAATTGTATATTGGAACGGTCGAATATTTTCAAGTAATGAAGGTGTTACGTTTGAAGGAAATAATAAAATGATAAAGATTGCACGTGGAATAAGTTTGGAGACATTGAAGAGAAAGATTCATGCAAAATTGAAATTGTCTAGTAGTCAGATTATATCTAGATTGATTTCACGATTTTTAATAGACCCGATTGTTAGACAATACACAATTATGGATATATGTGATAATGAAGATATTGATTGCATGTTAAGTGCTTTTCTTCAACAAAATCAGCGAAGTGCAATTGAAGTATATGCAGATATTGCGTCTGGTGAGAGTTCTTGTATTCAGTCACAAGGTGTGGACTTAAATTTATCAGGTTCACGTGATAACATGTCTGAGGCAGATGAACCCCTATTTTTATCAGGTGTTGTAATTTTATATTATGGGATAAAAATATATCAAGTTAATTTTATTGTAAGTATGTTTACCTAACATAACATGTCATGGTTGTGTAGAATGTGAATATGAGAATGAAGATGATGATGACAATGAACTTGAATGGGGGATCCTGAAGAAACTTCATCTGAATCTGATATGGATGATGGAATTCGTAGTAGCTTGAATATAAGTGATAATGCTGGAGTTGAAGGTATTAAGTACATTAAGTTGTCATAAAATACGTTTCAATAATAATGTAAATTAAATCGATTATGTTGTAATATGCAGGGTTGGTTGAAACTCCTTTTTAGAACTCTACTCCACATTATACCTATATTAACTGGGAACATGCTGATGATGAATTGGAAAATGTAGATGTTGATCCTGATCAACCATGGAAGGAGGGTGATGCATTATTTGTTAGGCAAATATTTGAGTGTAAAGAAGATGTTAAAATGGCAATTAAAAGCTTCGCATTGAAAACACATCAAAGTTATATTGTGGTAGAATCAAAACCAACAAAATTTCATGTGAAATGCCCAAACTATAGTACAGGATGTCTTTGGAGGGTTAGAGCAAATTTGGGCAAAATCTTAACAAGTGGAAAATCACAAGGTGTGGTGGTCCACATACGTGTGTTCATGCAATGATGTCTCTTGACCACAAAAAATTGGATTCAAACTTCATTTGCAGTTGCGTTCTTGGTACGTTGCACTAATTTTATTACAATATGTTTAATGGTCTATATATTACTGAAGAAGATTATACATAATGATATTGTTATTTGTAGGTATGGTAAAAGAACAACCATTGGTGCCCATCACATTAATCCAAGAAAGAATTAGTGGTCAATTTGGCTATCAAGTTTCATACAAGAAAGCATGGAAGGCAAAACAAAAAGCTTTAGTAAAAGTTTTTGGTGATTGGGATGAATCGTATGCCACATTGCCAAGATGGTTGGAGTACATGCAATTACATTCATCTGGGTCAATATACAAAATTGAAACCAATGACTATGTGAGGGGTCACCAAGTGGATAACAGATATAGAGTGTTTCATCGATTATTTTGGTCATTCAAACAATGCATAACTGCTTTCAACTTTTGCAAACCCTTAATACAAGTAGATGGTACTTTCTTGTATGGTAAATACCGTCAAACTTTGCTGATTGCAACCGCACAAGATGGA